TATTATTGCTGTTGCTCTCATTCGAAGCAGTTTCCGAAGTATTACCCTTTGGATTCTTCAAATGATGTTCTCCAATTTCATTATTTTTTTTTTCCGCCTATGCTATAAAAATAAAAAATAGTTTTAAACATTAGTATATTTAGAAATAAATAAATAAAAATTAAATTTTTTTTAACTTACTTTCTTGCGCCCAGGAAGAATTAGTCGAATTTCTTTTCGCCTCTCTCTTTTTCATAAAAAAAAACCATTTTTGCATTGATGATCGATACTTCAAGATAATTGGAAAATCTTTCATATTTGTATCGTTTCCAACTCTAATGATGACATTACTTCATCAAAGAAAAAGGGAGAATTTTGGGTATAAATAACCGATATTCCATGAATCCTTGCCGAATTTTCCAATCGCACCTCATCAGTTATTAGAAATAATGTGGTAGTATTTGAGAAAGTCTTTGATAATTTGTGAAAATTTTCGACGGCCATTTTAAAGTAAAGATTGTGTGTTTCTTCTGACTCTGTTCGCCACCGATTTATATAAATTAAAGACTTCTTTTGAAAGATTATGTTTAATATTTGGTTCTTTTTAATACCGTCAACTTGAATATTTATAAGTGTGATATAAGTTTTTGTTTGTTTTGAAAGAAGCATATTAATATGCAGGGTTGGTAGGTAATTTTGAATTTGATAGTTTTTAAACATTTTAATATATAAATCCAAATTTCCAAGATATGAACTGTATATATATATGTGTGTATCGTTAAACAAATTTCTAAGCCACCGGCCATTCATAAGATCGCGTTTATGAAAAAATAATGTTATGAAGGAATGCAATGTATTATTCAAATTTCAGCGTCGAATTAAGATCGAAAGAAGCATAGAATGTAAACGGAATTTCTTCCATATATTTAGAAGGTAAGTACCCATTTTTCCACAATGATTAATCTATATATATATATTACAAATTTTTGAGTTATTGAAATTATACTTAGGTAACCTTTCATTAAAATTAGAAGTTGCCATGAGCGAAGGCATTATTGAATTCAAGAATTACGAATAAGTGATATGTATGTCCAAAACCATAATGTGAGAATTACAAATGTTATCTTTCCATACGATTTTCCTATATTAAATCTAACGGAAGCTGTGGAGAAATATTCGTCAGTACAATAGTCTCCTAAATAAATAACCAGGATGAAGAGGTAACCAGACATTCGTATACTTATCTAGGCATTAAATTACAAAGCTTTTTGACTGAGCTTCATAATTTTTAGTCGACAGAACATTATATTGACATCGTCCGTTATAAGTGTAACCACTGCGATTACTAGCAGTGCGTAAGTTAATGACGATTTATTGATTTCGTAACTTTAGAAACATTGGTCAGAACGCGCTTGTGAAAATAGGTACGTGACAAATCGAGCATTGAGATTTGCGAGTATTGTAATTCAGACTTTATTAAATTTCATTCACGTTATGTACAGGATGAAGCACAAAAGCAGGACTCGCACAGGAATAATTTCTGATAGGAGTAGTGTTATTATAATATTATTTTGAAAATGTTTATGGATCTTGCAGAATATCTGAATTTAGAATAGACAATAAAATTTTCAATTATTGAATTTACAAGCTTGTTACGAATAATGATTTAGAGATAATTTTAATGCGTGTTTTTATAATGAGAAAAAAAAAAAATGGGAAAATAAAGGAGTTATTGACATTACATAAATATAGTAAGTATATAAATAATAAGCATTGTGTAACTCGTATCCAAAGATGCTTTGATTTTCATACAAATGGTCTCCTTTAAAAAAAAGTGAATGATGACTTTAAATCCTCGCGATTTACCTGACTTTTATTAATTTACCTTGATAATAAACACATACCATTTACTTATTACGATCCAAGAAATCGAATGCCATCTCTATACTAATAAAGAATTTAAATATAAAAACGCTTAAATCCAAAACGAAAGTTCGAGTATATAAAACAAATCTAAGAAACTTTATTTCATCTTTTTATGATTACTAGATATTAAAGTATTATAATTTTTTTACAATGTTTTATAACTAACTAATTTATACCTACGCTTTAAGGGATAACATTTAAATAATTATCTTTTTTTTTCGTTTTTTTTAGTTTATTTTTAATACTTATGTTAATTTTCATTATGTTGCGAATTTAGTTGGATACAATCATTCTGTATCCTTAATATCAGGTTGATAAAATTCAAGGAACGAATCAAAGCCAAATATGAAGTATAAAAACGCTAAAAATAAGCACGACTATATGAAATTTAGCATTAACTGAAGATTTTATATTAAATATTTTGTACTTCCCTCTAGTTGAAGAATAATTTGACTGAATTTTATCTTGACCAAGTGTTTATTATCAAAATAACTTTTAAGTTCATAAATTTTTATTTTCCTATTCTATCATTAATTTTATAATAATAAAATCACTTAAGTCGGTATAAATTTCGGTAGAAGTTGAACTAACAAAATTGAAAGGATCATACAAAAATTAAAAGTCAAGATAATGCAAATGCATATAAAAAAGTTCTCATCAAAACACTATCATTCATTATTAATCTCGTCGCTTATATTGAATGTCCGCCAAACTTTCACAACCAACAATTGAAAAATTGAGCCCAAATATCAGTACCAATGAATTTCTTTCTGTATATTTTCTACCAAATTGCGCTCATTATCTTTCGAGCTGATTTTTGATTTTTAACTATTACAATACATAGTGTGATTGGTTATAAATAAAAAATTTTGACGTAATGTTGAAAATAATAATAAATAAAAATAAAAACCTTAATTGCTCGAATCCAATTAACTATTTCGGTTTTTTCATCAAGTTTTTCCTTGATCTCATCTATTTCTTCTTTTTTTAATTTCCAATATTAAATAATCAGTGAAAATGTAATAAGTATTTATATATATATTAAAAAAAAAAAATATCATACATAGTCCGAATAAATCCTGATTTGGTTTCATTGGCTTTAATACGAATGGAAAGAGCAACTTTGGCTTTCTGTTGAATTTCTTTTGTAAGCTTTTCTATCTCATTATTTAATTCTTCTAATTCTCTTTCACTTTTTGCTAGAGAATTTTCGATTAATCCATCTTTTTCGCCCTTGATTGGCCACTTGAGACTTGATAATTCGCTCATTTATTAAAACAAGTTGATATTTACATGATCTATTAACTTTGAGCTCGAAGTTTATCACCCCCAAATTCCAAAATCTTATCTTAATCTCCTCTTTAATTTTAAAAGGTTGTCTTTTCAATTGATCTAACTCTCGTGTTAGAAGTTCAATATATATTCGAAGTTGTCCTATACATCTGATATCATCTACATTTGGATTATTTTTTTCTTTTGCCTTAGGAAAAAAAAGATTACTTATTAACCCTTAACAAGAATTTATTAGTAAAATACAGTTAAATACTTACCGTAACTCGGCTACTCTTTTTTCAGTATATATAATACGGTTTGCGCAAGCATTCACATCCATCTCTCTAACTTCAATAGTTCAAATTCTAATTTAGGATAAACCTGTCATCTTTCAGCTTAATAATATCAAAAAGACGGAAACATTTTCAGGTGTTTGTATCGGGCGCATTTAAATTGTAGGCAGTTCATTCAAAAGAATGAACATGGCGCAACCTAAATCTCTTTTTTTTGAAGTATTCTATACAAGTTTGTCCAACTTCAATAAAATCAACTACGATGTTGTTAATGCAGGACAGGCACTTGAAATCGCAATATCTCTAAGATCTTTCCAAGTCCACCATTTCTTCCATTCGATCATTCAAATCCTGTTCATTAAATCGTAATGCTGTTTTCGCTTCCGAAAGTCTATGACGATACTATAACAAAAAGCATGTTGTATATCTCGTAAATATTGTGCGTCAAAATATATAAACAAATAAAATCTGTAGAAATTGCCTTTGTCACTTTCTTCTGTTTAGAAATTACGCTTCTTTCTCTCTTCCAGGTTAATATCGCCTTTCTCATAATTTGTCAATTCAGCTAGAATTTCATATGTTTCTTTTTCAAGTTGCTTATTAAAATAAAAAAAATTAATGAGTTTTTTTTTTTTTTTTTTTGAATTATTATAATTTATCTTACCTGAAAGGCATTACGGAATCTCTGTATTTATCTTCAAGATCGTTGTTATCTGAACATGCATTTCTTCTTCTGATCTCTTAATTTATTCTAAGAATCAATAAATAAATTAATTGCCATATTAAATTACCTTGTCTGAAAAAGTTATCAAATCTAATGACTTACCAAAGCCTTAGTATATTTCAGTATTAATCTTAAATTCTAGCAAATTTTTTTGAGTTTCAAAGTTAACTTGTTTTCGTCTCGGAGAAAATTTTCTGCTTCTTTTCTTGGCCTTTCAATTCAATAAGATTCGAATCATAATTGTTATTTATTATGATTACAAACACGATTTACTAACATACTGCCTCTAAACTTTGTTTCTTCTTTTCAACTATTTTAACGCGATTTAATTTTTCTTATCGTTCTTCATCCATTGTTTCAACCTTTTCATTTGCTTCTTCAAGAGAACTTTATATTGAGAAGTTCCGATAAATGTCTTCATATATTCTAAGAACCCATCTTCATGCTCATTTGGTGCTTTGGGTATATTAATTCAACTTCTCCCTATTAATTAATTTTAAACATAGAATTTTGATGAAAAATTAGCATGATATTTACATATTGTAATAAATTTATGATCTATATGATAAAGGGAGATGGCTGTTGAAATTTCGAAAACACAAATTTTTCTACCGATATGTGAATAAATTCCAAAGATTTGAGCACCGATAAAAAAATTCGTGACTTCGTAACATGTGAAAACTATTTTTAAGATAAACAAATTTGAATTAATCAAAATGTACAAATTATCCTTGATTTAAAAATAAAAATGTTCATAATCATGATCCACCTCAACCCCGAATTCATCAAAGAAGTGTTACTTTAAGTTTCAACAGAAAAAGCTTTTATTGTGAAGCAACAAGCGAATTAATCCCACTTTTGATTTTCGTCTACATAGTTGAGTTGATAGTTGTTAGCTTAGAAGGTATTTCTGAATTATTATTAGGATATTATGTTTTTGCAAGTTTTAAAAATATTCATTTAGGATATAATTACTAATGTGTAGTGTATGACTTACCATGTGTAAATTTAATGATAAAAAAAACGACTTTGAAGAGTTTGATAAGTTTAAAAATGCAAAAAGTATTTCTAAAATAAAAGGAAATTAAAATTTGTTTGTTAACCGATTTGGTAAAAATTTTCTCTGTTTTGATTGGTCGATTATTAACGCCCATCATATTTATACGACAAAAAATAAAATCTGAAACTATAAACAAACCAGCTATTTAAAATATCTCAACACAATTTAACATATCACTATAATATGCGCCTACCACCCATACAAGAATTGGACGTGTTCGACGATGGTCCTCCACTATATCGTCAAAGTAAATATCATAGCGTTGAGAAAACTTGATGGTTTTATAAATAAATTTACTAATAAGTTGCGATACACCCATCCCAGATCTAGCAAAAAATACAACGGGTACTAAGCCACTCTTAGTGCGCTACCTGATATCAGATTCTGGCAGTAAGTATGAAGGTTTTTTTTGCTTACATTATATAACTGCACTACCGTGCTAGTCGTACAAAATGGACCCATCCTTTAACTAAACGTATTTCTTCACATTAATAATTATAGTAACAGATCTGATGCCTATGGTTGGCGGATATGCAATTACCAACCATACAGGAATAGGGCGCCTTCAAAGTAAATAGCGTTTAGAGACTTTGGAAATGATAGTTTTATAAAATTACTAATTAATTCTTTATTCACATTTAATAATAATAGGAAGTCTATGGTTGGGTACGCGGTTAAGATTTGGGCGTCTTGATGATGGTCTCCATCATCAAAACCATTGTTAAGTTGTTGGAGAAGTCCTTATATAGGACTTGCTGATGTCTGATGAAATCTAGCTCATCACAATCGTCTTGTCGAGGGGAAATCGAATGATAGATGGGACATTGTCTCCCTTATTATATATTTTTTTAAAAGAGGATAGTGACTTTCAGTTGTAGTAATATCTAGACTAAACGTTGAGAAGGGATAATGTTGGGTATGATTGGAACGATGTTTTAGAGATAAAGATGTACAACACTGGGCTGGTAGAAGAACAATTACAGACGGAAATCAATTAATGCAATTAGTTTAGTTTCTTTGCTCTTTGCTATTGCAAGAGGAACCTGATAAAACTCAAATCAATTTATATAGTCAGAACAAATCAAAGCCAAATATGAAGTATAAAAACGATAAAAATAAACATTTATCAATATGCTACTTTTCCTCTAGTTGAAGGATAATTCGACATAGAATTTTTCTCTAGATCAAGTGTTTATTATCAAAATAAAAGAAAGAATCTTTAAGTTCATAAACTTTTATTTTTCTATTCATTTTTTATAAATAATAAAAATCACTTTGATATAATGTTCTGTAAAAGTTGAATTAACAAGAAAAGTCCTATAATAAATACGATCGACGATTCGACAAAAAGGTTGACCAATAATAAAAAAAATAAATATGATCACATGATCTAGAAAAATCATATATAATATAACAATAATATATATCGATAAACTAATATTTTTATCAGTAAATAATTTTATCATATTATTATATGCTATTTTGATAAATTTAAAGTAAAAGTCTAAGACCTTCTATAATTTCAATCTTTTTAATTATTACTATTACTTTTATAAAGTATATTATAATCTTCATTATCTAAATATTATTTCTTCTAAAGATTCTTTAAATTCTAGTTAATTAATATCAATAAATAAAACGAGATTATAAAATAATTAATAAATAAAATAATTATCTTATTTTAATAATCATTAAATTTATTAATATCTTTTTCTTCTTTTTTACTACTTATTTAGCTTTTTTTCTAATAAAATTTAATATTATTTTTTTAATATTTATAATAATACTTATTGTTACTAATTATCTTTTGAATCATTTTTAAATAAAATATATATTTGTATAAATATATTAATTTATTCATTTTATAAAAAAAATATTTATATTAAAAATATTTAGTAATTAAATTTATATCTTAATATAAGAATAGAAGATTATTATATATAATTTTTAAAATTATTTTTTTATTTTATTATAAATAAAAAAAAATAATATTTTTAATCGTTTACTATATAACATATCTATGATAAGCGTAATTCAATCAAATTAAAATAAATTAAATATTTAATTTAATTTAATTACCTAATATTATTTATTTAATTTGATTATCTGATTTGATTTAATAATTATTTATTTTAAAACAAAAATTTAAAATTTAAAACTAAAAAAAAATTAAAATTAAATTAAAATTAAAAAGAAAAAAGAAAAAATACTAAAATAAATATAAAATAAAAATAAATTAAAAAAAAAATTAATTTTCTTAGTCTCTTCTTTTATTTTTTTTATTCTTTCTATCTCTACTATTTTTTATATCTTTTCGTTTTAACTTACTTTTTAATCTACTTTTTTTTAATCTATTTTTTTAATTTATTTAAACTAGTTATATTTCTTTATATCTTTTATCTATTCATTATTTTATATAAAATCTTTTTATAAGGTTAATTATAAAAATTAAAAAAATTAATATAAATATATATTTAAATATATATTAATAAAATAAATAATAAATTTAAGTTAAATTATCATAATTATTTTAAAATAATCAAAGTTCATCTCTTATTGTTTTATAAAATTTGATATAAAATTGATTAAATCTTCTTAATTAAAATACTTTAAGATTTTTAATCTTTATTTTTCACACATTTTAAGAATTTTGAAATAATATATTTTATTTATTTTGATATTGTCTTTCAATAATTTGTATTAGATAATCTAAATTAAAGATGGTAACCATAATTAATATGTTGCAACATATAATATTATAACATATGTTACAACTATGTTCCAACAATTGATGATATTTATTAATTTGTTGCAACGCTTAGTAATTAATTTAACTAATTTTTGCAATTTTGTAATATTTTAAATGTTCCAGACGTTAGAGGCATCAAAATATTGCATTTTTGTATAATTGCAAATAAACCACGTCCAAAATTGGCAAAGTCATGTGACATTTTGCCGATTTTGCTGATTGGACGTGACAAAGTTACTGTACATCTGATTAATCAGATTATCGATCAGAAAATTTTTAATTACAAATTTTCTTTTTTTAGTTTTTTCATAAAAAAAGTAAATTTTTAATTTAAATTTTTTTTTTTCAATTTTTATTTTTTAAAAAAAAAAAACTAATCTTACTTACCTTGGAATTTTTGGGTTGAAGAAATGTTAATTAAATTTTTTTTTAATTTTTTTAAAAAATACTAACATTAACTTACCTTGTAGACTAATTCAGAGCTTTTAACAGTAGAATCCTTGGATAAGGTAAGTTCTAATAAAATAATTTTAATTAAATTTTTTTTAATTTAAAAAAGAAAATTTACATTTACTTACCTTATAGACTGATTTGGAACTTCTAACTGTGAAATCTTTGGATTGGAGATAAATCCTAATGGAATAATTTAATTTAATTTTTTTTTTAATTTTTTTAAAAAAATACTAATATTAACTTACCTTATAGACTGATTCAGAACCTCCAATCATAGAATCTTTGAATGAAGTAAATCCTAATAAAGTAATTTTAATTGAATATTTTTTTTTTTATAATTTAACAAAGAATACTAACATTAACTTACCTTATAGACTGATCCAGAACCTCTAACCTTAAAATTTTTGGATTAGAAGTAAGTTCTAATGGAAAAATGTTAATTAAATTTTTTTTTTAATTTTTTTAAAAAAATATTAAAATTAACTTATTTTGTAGAACGATCTAAAACCTCTAACTGTGAAATTTTTGGATGAGGTAAGTCCTAATGAAATAATTTTTTAATTAAAATTTTTTTTTAATTTAGCAAAGAATATTAAGATTAGCTTATCTTGTAGAACGATACGACATTTTTCAAACCTTATAAATCTGGATTAGTTAGTATTTTTTTTTTTTAAAAAAAAAAAAGGTAATTAATACTAAATTTACCTTTATAGAACAGTCTGGATCCTTGAAACCTTGGGTTAGAATCAATTGAAGATAAGTCTTAAATAATTTGTCAGGTTTTTTTTAAAAAAAATAACTAATACTAATACTTATTAATATTTGTCTTTATAGATCAGCTATACTTGAGATAATGGAAGTAAGGGTTTTTTTTAATCATAACTTTAATAGTAATTTTCATTATATAATAATTTTAAAAATTCATGTAAATTTTATTTTTTTTAATAAATCTTTAAATATAAATATTAAATAAAATTGAATAAGTTTACTCGTAATAAAAATTTCTTTAAATTTTATAAATGTACATGCACAAAAATTTAAATTGCCATTCCGATCTCAACCACCGTTCTTATAAATTTCTATTCTTTTTATATTTTTATTTAAAATTCTGATAACGTAAATGAAACTGAATATATATTTAGATTTGATCGTGTAAACATCTTTAATCACAAAATCACAAAAATAAATATTATATTTAGTTTATTTGCCATATAAATTTTTTTATTTATTCTTAATTGTCTTAAATTTCTTAATTGTATTAGCATATATATATATTAAAGAAAAAAATAAAAGTAAAAAATTTAAAACTATATTATTCTTATTAAAGAATATTATTAACTAACTCCTCTATATCAAATTCCTCATCTGTTTCATCATCATTATGTCTACTTGTATCTATTCTATTTTCAAAATTAGAAACATCTACATATTCAACTATAATAATTAGTTTTAAATTAAACAATATAGATATATCTAATACTTCTCTACCAGTATTATCACTTAATATTTCTGGTTCATTTAAATTTGATAAAATGATTGCTTCGTCATCTTTAACTGGTTCTTCATATGTTTCACTTAATGATTCCTGTACTAATTCTATTATATTATTTTCAGATATATTTAGTTGATAATATCATAATTCATCTTTAATATTCGTAATATAATATCTATGAATCTTTGATAAAGATTTAATTGTAGTAATTGACATTTTTGTTCTTCTTTTTCCATACATCCATCCAATTGTTAACCAAATTCATTTACAACTTGCTGCATTAGAAGTAATAGAAAAAATTTTTATTGCAAGGGTTTGAAGATAATTATAATTAGAAAAACATGTATTCCACCATTTTAATGGAGTATCATTTACTTTGATATAAGACGCATTATATGGTGATTCCTTTAATTTATAATCTCTTAATTGAGAGACTAATTTAAGACATGATTTTTTGTTATTTCCAAATCCTTTCCATATATTTTCAGCTAATATAACGATTTCATTAAATCGATTATCTTATATACTAACACCTAATTATATAAATAAATTAAATATTAAGCAATTAAAATGATAATTATTACTATTTTATATTTACCTTTGAA